CTCCATATAAGAAAAAAAATTCCAGTCCAGCATGAAGTCGCAATGCAGTCACATGTGTCATTTCAAAACACTACAATCGCTTAAGTAAAGAATAGTACCATGAAACAAAATTTTTTCTCTTCGCTACCACTCGTTACCGGCGGTAACTGCAGAAAATCGCCTGTGATTACCAACTGAATGCCGCCAAAAGGCTTATCGTTCTTTTTAACCTTTCGGGCAACCTAGAAATCCCAACTTCCTACTAACTCGTTCAAAATAATTGTATTGCTGACAAGTTTGAAAACTTAGGCGGAAAACGATACGGAGCAAAAAGTTATTTAGTAAAACCAAAATCATGAAGTCATGGAAACCAACATATTCAAGTTTTTCAAAATAATCCGCATCTATCATTGAAATTTCATCAATAATTAAGTGCTGACAACGCTTCCACTGAATCCTGGCATTATTATTCAACACGAGTTCTGCACACTGCTCTTTCGTTCCACAACCATTTCCAAAACCTCCAAAACTATGTAAAGTGCTGCCGCCAATAAAACACGCTGCCACTCCTAAAAACAAAGAAAAATCAATCAACAAAAAAAGCAAAGATAATATGCAGGTTACAAAACATAAATTAAAAATTTGCATCTTGCATCCAATATACAGAAGAAAAACCAGTTGAAGCAGTAACAAATGTAGTAGCCGCTGGAAGTAATTCAATTATCCTTCTCAATACCAGCGATTTCCCGGTCCCAGCACTACCAGTAAAGAATACATTCTTTTTTCCTCCAATGACTGACCTCACAACAGCTTTCTGTTCAGCTGTGAGCTCCAAAACAGATTCTGCTTTCTTCTATAATTTCAAAATAAAATTAAAAGATGTATCTCTCACCCTAAGACCAGAACATAAGAACTAGTCCCACTTTCTAAAAAACACTCGAGGAATAAAATGGCCAGAAACCAGAGTATTAGAGGTAGGCATTTAAGACCAAATACCGGTTGATGTGACATTGTTTTCTCAATTTCCGGCACCTTCCGCAGGTCTCTCAAAGGCCACCTTTTTGCTTTGATTCTCGGTGTCGAATCATAAGACCTAACAGGACCGGATGTAGACGGTGATAAAAGACGATCATCTGTTGCAAAACCGCGCAGCCTATCATTAAAAAAAATTACAATCATTATCATAACCTGTTCGTTCATTGATTCTGCGAAGTAAAACGAAGAAGAAAAACTTACAAAAATATTTCACTGAAAAGACC